GGGGGGAGGCTACGGAGAACGGAGCGCGGCCAGTGACCTCTTTTCCCGCTCGTTGCCACTACTATTGGCCAAAGTAGACGAGACGGGTTGTTGCAGCCGCAGCCCAGCCGCGGCCAAGACGGATCGGGCGAGGACAACGGCTCGGACAATTTTGGCCTTGTCCGGGCTGCGTGGCGCCCGTGGCGGCGCCGAGACCTCCCCCGCCCCGCGCAGCTCGACCTCAGGCAGCGCCGGCCACGATATGGTGAGCGTGCCCCCCCCCCCCGCATTAGCAGGGGCGCTACAAGCTGATTAGCAGTCCGCCCGCCCGGCACAGGACCTGCCAAGCCCGGCACGGCCGGCACGGGTCCTCGACCGGCCGGAAGCCACACAGGACACACATCCAGCACTTTTTCCTTCCGGCACGGTTGGGGCTGGGGACGGGGCGGGCGTGCGCGGGCGGGCTCGGGCTTAGGGTAGGGGCTCGTGGCGAGCTCCGGCCGCGCATCCGCCGGGGTCACCGGAGCGTGGCGCTCGCGCGCCCCCGCCCCCCGCCCCCCGCGGCGGCGTGGTGCTGGAGCACCACGAGGACGTCCTCGCCGCGAGGGAGTCGGCGGAGTCCCCCACGGAGCAGAAGGAAGCCCTGCGTGGGGCGCGGCAAGAGTAAAGCAGCTAGCCGTCACGGGAGACGCGGCGTCTGAGCGACATCTGAGCGACGCCCCCCGCGGGACCAGGCCGACGAGTCGAGCGAGCCGGGGGCGACGCCCCGCGAGAGCCCCGCGGCGCCCTGCGCTCCCACGCACCCGCCTCGGTTCCCACAGGACAGGCACCACCGCACAAGCCGCGGCACCGGGGACAGCCTGGTGCTCCCTCCAAGAGCGCTGCCCAGCACCGCAGGGCCTGAGGTGGTGGTTTTGTTGAATGGGGGGTGCATAGGATGACCGTTGAGCTCCTGGAGGCCCCATCACACAAGAACGTTTTCATTTGAAATGGAGGGAAGGGGAATGGAAAGGAAAATTTGTAAGTGGCAAAGATGCCTCAATCAACTTGTAAAATTTCGTTAGTATATATGTTCAAATTATTAGGTACATGCGCACCGCCCATTGAGAAAAAATTGTGGCAACCACCACGTAAGTGTCTGTCAGGCAGAGTGATAGGTTTCCAATGAATATTCAAGTAAAAATACAAGTAATAATGGTTTTACATGGGTCAACGGAACTGCTGTAGACTCCACCCTCCACACTCCCATATGTTAATGATACAAAAATTTTGTGGTCATATTTTTTAAAAAGGATCCTAAAATTTTAGTGGTTTTTAAATTAAAATTATTTACGAACATTTCTCTTTCAAAGAAAATTGAATGTGGTCACGACGTGAAGTCAAAAGCTGACTACTGTCTGAACATTGTAATTATAGACAAATTTCTGACAGTTGGTTCATTACTTAACTAATTAAATAGCAGCAGTCATTAAAGCAATGTTATTATCAGCCCTCAGAGAAGTTTCACTGATAACTTAATACATTCGATGAATTAAAACAAGATGTATTCTGTGTCACATACCTTTACTGACGGTATCCACATCGTGAGTTCTGATGCACTGGATAGAGAGAAGCACCAATAAACCCCACACTCCCCAACTACACAAATTCGCCATGGTCACCACACAATCATCACTAACAAAATCTCAACGTTTGTTTAACTCATTCGGTTTTCAGTCAAGGTTGTTTACTTCCGCGCGACCGCGTCGTCCGTGCACCGCGAGAGCATCAACAAAACTGAAAGGCGGAATCATGAGGAACGGAACGGACAACGGACTTGTCCGCGTTCACAAGAGCACGGCCCGCGCTGCTCTCACAGCAGGACAGCACCACAAGGGTTTGAGAGAGGGAGTATCGTCACCATGACGTCACAACACGAGTTGTTTTGAAATGTGTGTACTTTATGAGAAGGCGCAGGAAAGCAGCGGCTTGAGGAGAACCAAAAATCTTGTTTTGTTTGGGACACATGTGTCTTCGGTGAAACTTTAATTTGACTTAATTCTGAGGTAATCTCTCACAATCTGATCTGTGAAACTTTGTAAATTTGAAAGGAAGCTAATAGAAACGTCGCACTTTGAGTTACAAACTCAAAGAGTGTTGACTAGCCCTGTGTATTATGTTTATATTCTAAGTCTGACGTCAAGAGGTTATGCAGTTTCGTTTTTGTAGTCATTTTAAATGTTTTCCTTGTAAATTAGTGTTTCTATGCTTGTTATTGGGGGGTGAGATAATTCATTTCGCTACTGATTTGCCTCTAATTCCTCCAATTTTTTGTAGATATAGAAAATGATCATTCCTGTCCGCTGTTTCACTTGTGGAAAAGTGATCGGTAATAAATGGGAGGCGTACCTTGGACTTCTTCAGGCGGAGTATACAGAAGGGTGAGTTGTGTTTGCTAACCAGTGGGTATGACATTTTTCTACTTTAAAAAAATTTTGCTCTATGAATGGAATTATTAACTTTTCCTTGTCTGTTGACAGTGACGCCCTTGATGCACTTGGTCTGAAGAGATATTGCTGTCGGCGAATGCTTCTGGGACATGTAGATTTAATTGAAAAGCTTCTTAACTATGCACCACTTGAAAAATAATATTTATTAATCTCAAATCATAAATTATTAATTAAGTCTCATATTGAGGAGGGTTGTGAAGAATGCGTTATGTCTGTGCAAAACGTGTGAATGTCAGGAAGACCGCTGTCTTTTAAAATTCCGAATGATGTAAATAAACTGTACCTGGAAACTTACTGTACTATACTTCTTCGTTACTTCACAATTTCATAATTGTTCAAATGTACTCCCTAGAGTTATTTCTAATGTACACGCACATCATCTGTTTATGAAAAAAACTTTTATGTTAACATAAGAATATTTTTCATCAACAATAATGTTTTGTAACAAATCTCTGTTTATGAATTTGTTCACATCTTCTAAATTACACAAATTCATTCATTCTTTTTTATGTTACACTGACCTGCTAATTTTCTCATACCATTCACAGAAGAGGAGGGGGGGGGGGGGAGGCTACGGAGAACGGAGCGCGGCCAGTGA